GATAATTGAATCGGCGTTCCACGCTGATTCGCCCCAGCATTGAACAATGTAGCACACTACGTGCTCAAATCAATTTGACTTTGCAATACGAATCATAGGCTGGAAAGAGCTTGAATTTTAGTTGCACGAAGTCGTTTTGTAGTCGTAGTTGTAGAGAAGATATAGTCATAGTCGTAGGCTTAGTCGTGGTCACAGTAAAGTTATGCTTGTTGTGATCAATCCATTTTTAAACAACTAAGCCCATTACCATATCCGATATGCCTGTTGTATTTAGTCGTAAAGCGCTTGATGTTGTGTTAATCAGTGCTGCTGACTGAAGTTCTGTTGTCCTTAAAGCAATTTCTGCAACTTTGCGAAAACGCAACTTGTGTAAGCTCTAGTGTGGTTACATACGAAACCCGCCGAGGTTGTTACCTTAGTGTTGTAGAGCTTTTTGCTTCGATGTAGCCATAGGGCGCGTAGAACTCAACATATGATAATGTTGAGTACCACTTGTATAGCAGAAACCCCGTATAGCTTAGTAGCAATATGTAAGCTGATAAGCACTTGCAAACATCACCAAAGTCCAATCAAGAACCTCCTCAAAGAGCTCTTCGAAAGGCTTAAGGTAATAATTCCATTGATAACTAGCCACATGACAATCCTTAAACAAGTGTTTGGCGTCTTCAACGTCAATACACCCATTAATACAGGTGGTTGACATGTTGACTTCCGTTCTCCTTTTAAACTTATAGCGTACTCCCAGTGCATTATGTTGTAGACGAACCTTAACATCCGTACAACCCGGAAGAACGTAACGATTCCATGTATACTCCGCAGTCCACATACTTGGGGTAGGCGGAAAGTCGGGCAACAAGTCAAGTTGTCGCAACGGTAGGTCTGAAGTACTTGTGCATTTATGTTTCTGCAACCTTTACTTAACAAAGTCACGATTTTCCATACTAACAACAAGTCTTCCATCAAGACTCCATGCACGGCAAGCGGCTTCAATCTTGTATGGTCGCGAAGGTCCGCAGTGTGGAGAATCCCCTGGGATAATTAAGCTGAGCCTTCGTATTGTGTCATTCACTAAGCGAGTCAGTAAACTTGGTCTTGCGAAGTCAGCCGCATTTAGTAATAGTCGTTGTAGTCGTTGTAGCGAAGGTTAGATTAAATTCACAAAGCCTTTAAGTCGGTTAAAGGCTAACCCCATTAGATTATCCACCGTCTCCGGGCTAACACTGCGTAGGGGTGTCTTCAGCTTCCCAAACGTGAAGTGATGGATGTTGCAGAACGGCATTGTTTGCGTGAAAAACTTCCAGTTGGTTGTGCCGCGTGAGCTATGTAAAGCAGCCCTAAGCTTCAAAGTACTTCTCCAGTACTCAGGTAGGTGATTCCAGATCCCCCTTTCATATTGGAGTATAATATGTCGAACCTTCTCCTAATTGCTGTAGAGTCATGGAAAAGAGAGCCAATGCCGGTGAGATCCAGCGGGGCTCGTTTGATGTGGCATTTGTGGCTGCAATGGCAATGCCGTTGCGTAGACACTTTAAGTGCATGGTGTCGATAAGGGCTCTTGGTGCAGTGATCCCAAGACCACCCTTTTAACACTTGTATATACCCATTCTTTATCAAATTTGCCGGGGCGAGCTGATGACGCACTGGTGTCATTTGCGTTGACAAAATTGCGTATTATAATATCAATTTGCTTCAAAATAGGCAAGGTGTCATAGTAACATTCGCCGTGTACCATAGTACCGGTAAGATGATACTTTGGAGTATGTCAACCTTTCCTCGTAGTGTTCTTGCACGATATTTCCGAAGCGCACACTGAGCTTGTATCTTCTTTATTATCACGTTGTACCGTTGTTCCGGTGTAACTGTAGCTCCTTGTATCACACCAAGTAGCCGTACTGTTTCCCACGGTGATAACACTTTGACTTCAGTTCGCCTTCGTAGTTCTGCGAGCTTATGATTGGATACATGGTGCAGTAACGGCATGATGTTTGTATTAGTAACATTGAGCAGTAAACCGGCAGTATCCGCATAGTCTTGAACTAGACCAAGAAACTCACCAGCGTCGTCGAGATCACACAACATTCCGGTGTAGTCGTCAGCAAACGCTAGTCACAGATGAGGCGGGTCTGTATCGTATTGAGCTCCCAATGGTAGTAGTTACCATCTGCTAGGAGGAATTCGGCGCGCTTGGTAGTCATGGCGGTGAAGGTATGCTGAAGCAAGGCTTTGTTTTCGGCTGTTAACCTGTTTAGAAGAATGCAAAATCTAAGTGAATTTATTCAGATCAATACTTCGCTACTCTATGCTACCTCTAAGCCTGTCTACTTAGATCCTTTCATAAGCTTGTGAATGTAACATCATTTACCTAGACCAATGAACGACTACCAATATGTCCGTAATAACTAGCATCCACAATCCTTGTGACGTCACTCGCATGCGTTCAGCGGTGTAAACTTATTAGAATCCAAATCTCACCAAATTACGATTATTCACTGATCACGCTTACACACGTTTAAATTTTTATATAGAAGTGCGCGTAGAAATAATAAGTGTTCAGTGATTAGCAGCATGTTGTAAGTGCTATGACATTCACAGAGAAATTATGATTGCGAGCTACACAAGAGGAGCTTGTGGGCGTCACATAGCATTAGGCGGTTATGCGTGAGGCGCCTGTATCGGACGGTGCTTAACGGGTACGTTCTCCACTAACATGAGCGTATACATCACACTTTCATGATATTACATCACACTATTCGGATAATTGTGGAATACTAAGATGATCAAAAATATCGGTACAAATCAAGACGGTGGGATTTTGTATAGGAGGTTTGTGCGACGTGTTATCCCAAATTCACTAGTACCACATCAAGCAATTCAAATAGATTCATGATTTGACATAAAACCTGACTACAACCAAGTATTAGTTTAATCCTAATATTTGTCACTCTCAAAAAAGATAAGCAGATCATTTTTCAAGTACTTTAAAGCCTCTTTTCCACTTCAGGATGGAGTCTACAAAACAATCTCCGTTTGTTAGTGACGCAGAGACTATGCACCAACCTTCTCCAGTGCAAGGCTCCCGGCAACCCCATATAATCTGTCGTCAAACCAACGGCTGAGTTTCATACTTAATGTGACGTTGTGACATATTCGTTCACTATCCTGGACACTAAAACACACTTGGTGAGCTCAAGTCTATCGTAGGCTGTAAAAGGACTAAAAGATTGCGAAATCCTATTTGAATAGCTTCATTGGTATGCATCGATTGCGACTAAGGTTAACGACAATATAAGTCTCCATTTCCTTAAAACGATATCAGATGGTGATAAGGCACGGCAACAGAGACGGTGTTATACGCTGTTAACGAAGGCTTCATGTGTGCTCGGTCAGACCGCAGAGTTTGAACCATTCATATCATATCGTCTATCACTCTCAGTCGTTTCGATAGGCTATTATTTACTCAAACTTGATGACAATCGGCATGAATCTGTATTGGATACGTGACGACGTTGGTGCGCACAATAACGCAGGATTTGTTTCGATCGGAAATGTGTTCAGGTGATTATTTTTCTTTGCCGAGCATAATATTGAGTTAACTTAAAGTGATGGAATTTGCTGTTACATCGTCTCTACTGTTAATATTGGTGTTGACGGATGTAATGTGCGAAGTACAGGATTGATGCGACAAGTGTTACGTTCTTGAAAGCTGGTGGGAGAAAGGACATTGTGATTTCAGAAGCTGCTATTGCGAAGAGCGCGGTTACACATCTGCCCGCTATCCTGGGACTTGTTGTAAAATAGCACTGACCTATTTGACGTACAACCTGTACTTATCGGCGGCCACCTCGGGGGATAAATGACATACTGCTTAGTGAGCTTTATGTACTGGTGGCCTAACATGTCTCAGTTGGTAAGAACTTATGTGCGCACGTCAGAGGTGTATCATCGCACCAAGCCTTCGCGCATGCTTCGGCGCCTCTGAACATCTTGCCAATTTCCGCATAGTTGGGTACAGACATTGTTTTTGGCTTGTCAAAAGTGTGTCCGGTAACACCAAAACTGCGGTAGTTGTTGAGCTGTCTGAGCAAAAGAATACATCTTACTGCCGTCAGCGACACTGTTGCTGGTGAGATTACATCCAAATCGTTCCTCGACAAAATTCAACATCATGGCTTGTCTGTGATCATTGATTCGAAACAACTTATGTGCATCAAATGAAGATCTGTCTAGCTTTGTGTGTACCAGGCTGGACATGCCCACCGCTGATGCATGTGTACAGGCGTTCAGACTAAACGAGTTAATATGTGCTGAAAATATACTTGCGCGGTGGATGGTTCACTCAAAAATAATCTGATGACCCCTCGAATTTAATTTGACGCTACCACAAGGAGCTCCGGTCTTGATGGGAGCGATACAATGCGACCCGCTGGTATCAGCCCGGCTACACTATGTAGCAAAGTCACATATATTTTTATGAAAAAGATTGAGCATCATGCCCCAAGTGCGCGACGCCATGACTGAGAAACATGATGTGCAAAAAAGGCATCAGGCCAATGCCAAAGGCAAGTAGAGAACACACATAGATACATAGATACATAGCTGGACAGATTGATGATGCTACATGCTGTGTCTGCTGTCTTGAGCAAAGTCCGTTCAAGGTCACAGCAATATCAAAATTTACTTACACTTCTGAATTACTCCTTTATGATTTCACGAGAAATTAGTACCCAAATAATAGTGCTCTCCGAGGTTATGGATCTACCAGACTGCCACGTTCATTTCTTTTCCTGAGAAATGTGGACCTATGAGGTGAGAAAGCTCTCGCAGAGGACTTCCATTTGGTTTCAATTTGATGGGAAGGCCCGCAAAATTGAATACATAAATACTTTGTGCTTTAGTCTGTGAAACTCACTGTGTCGAATGCGCTTGCAGCCAGTAAAGCTTGGTTCGCTAACTCGGGTCCAGTTCACCACTAACGAGCACGTCGTCGTCGTCAAGTCAATTTATTTTTGCGCGATGCCTTGAAAGACAAATCGAGTGCTCTTAATGTGATCAAAGCAAAGACAGACAAATCTTACGATGCTCAGTAGCCCGGTGGGCTGCTAGTCCACGGTATGCGGTACATACATCATATAATGAAACCCAGGTTTTTAGCTTGACATAATTTTAAATACACTCTTAAACTTTGAGAATACTTTCTTGAAAAATTGAGCGTCCTCTGGTGTTTTCAGCACAGGCTGACTAACCTACCTTTTCAGTGATATACAGCACATTCCATTGCATCAAGCTTGCCAACCTGATCTGACCTGTTTTCCGATTGCATCAAGCTTGCCAACCTGATCTGACCTGTTTTCCGATCCACAGACGCTGACATCGAGGAAGGCTGGCTTGGGTGAGAACCTAGATTTTTTTTACAAAGTCAATTTGAGTACAATGTTCTCTGAAAAGCAGGAGCTACATATACGAATGATAACAAATACTGAAGGAAGCGATTGTTGATTTTGTTGTCGAGTAGCTTGATATCTCATTTTACTGAGCTTTAGCGTTGCTTGAAAATATCTATTCAATTATATTTTTTCTCTCACTGAGCATAATCAAACTTTCTTCCAAGCATGAAAGGTTTCGCTGCAGTAAGTCTTGACTCCAATAAAATCTTTGGCAGCACCAAAAGCAATGAACGTTCATAAGGACGTCATCCTGTTTTTTTATCAGTCAGTTAGAACGTTTTTTTTTCAAGCTTGAGGTTATCATTATGGAAAAATCGTACTCGACGAGAACAATGATCCATATGCAGTGAACCTAAATTCAGTTGATGCAACACAAAAAAATTTGGATGTTCCTAAAAAACGATACTGTTTTCCAGAAAGGTAAGCAGCCGCTAAAAGTGAATGGAGAGCAGCAAAAGATGATGCCAACTGAAGACGTGTTGACAAATGCGCAATGTTGTTCGTAGTATGGGTGCGAATGGTTTTCGCGATCTATTTGAAATGGCCTGCTGCGCTACCTTATCTAACGTATTCAGAAAAAAAACTCACTCATCAATCAGCTCTATACATAAAGGGGTTTCTTTGACACCAATACTGCGGCCATTCGAGTCCCAAACTTGTGGTCGATTGCGAATATTATTCGAGGTCTTTAAGATTTGTGCAGATTGGTTTTTATCTTTGTTAGAACACGCTGTCGGTACATTCGTAGATAATTGTTGCGGTTTGTGTTCAAATTTATCCGCGACCCGCTGTTGCTGCTTGATCAAAGCACTTTGAATCATCATGTCTTCGTAAGCATTTTGTGTCACACACAGCGTGTCACCGTCAGTAAGGCATTCGAGACTCATAATTCGCTTCAGGTGCCTAACATAGCGTTTGCGATTGTTGCCTTGGCTAACGGTAGTAATGGCTTTCGTCACCTCTCGATAGATACTCGCAACTTCATTGATCCCAAACTTTGCTCGAACACACTGCTTCAATTGAGCAAATGACTTGAACGAAACAAAGGTCGTCTTGAGACGACGAAATCCGTGCAGGTAGACAGCGCAAAGAAATTGAGGCTCGTGCACACACTTGGTAGGATGAGAAGAGTTTGGTTTGTATTGACTCAAGTACGTTTTGGAACGTGCCGGTAGTTTAGTTGAGATGCCAGTATCTTTCTTCATACGACGAGATGAGAATGGCTTTGATCCTTTAAATCGAGTAGACTCTACAAGGCTCAGGGCATCTTGAATCTGTTTCATTTTCCGACGCGCAAGCTTTTGACGCACAATATGCTGTTGGTAGCTCATCGCCTGGAATCTGACTTTAATACGAGTGGCTTGATCTTGGTTACTTCGATCTGCCTTCCGAAACCGATGTTTTTGCCTTTTGACATGTAAAGCAATCGCTTTCTTGGTCCGTCCGCTGAAAACATCGAGGTTATGAAAAAGATATGGTAGATCCAAACTTCTAGCGTCAGTATCGAGAGAAGTACGCGCGATTTGATCGTTGTTAACCAGAGTCTCTTCCTTCACAATATAGTTTTGTTTACTCTTTTTATCGAAAAGATCCCAGCTTGATGAATCGATAGCACTAGCGGATCCTGCATCGAGACACGAAATAAATTCATTTAACTCATTCGCGAAACTCTCAAGCTCATACTCGATGCCCGCTTCAAGACCAGAAGACTGACCTAGCTCGCTTTCCTATAAAAACGCTGGTCATCAAGGAGAAAATCAACACAAACTTCACTTGAGCTACCTGTGGCGTTTGCTGCTGCATCTGAAAGATCAATCTTTGGTCAACTCGATTCCTTTCCTTGTTAAAGCGTTCTTCGTCCGAACTAACTAATACAAAATACTGTGAGCGATGCAACGGAGTTAACTTTCAAGCATGTCTTACTCGTTCCCACATACTTCAAGACAAGACAGAAACGCCTCGCAATTTTCCGCCATTTCTTGCAACGAGGTGAGTGTATCTCCATCAAAATTGACATCCTCATCCTTTTCGGCCTCAAAATGCTGCTCTTCAATCCTTCCACACAAAAGACTCAGCTCTTGTGTGTAACTTTTCAATCTATCTACTAAATCATTATCTTCGTCTGAACATGCATCATTATCCATTGCTCGTCTTAACGTCAGCGTTGGTGATTTCTTCACCTTATGTCATTTTTGTTCATCGTTTCCTTAATAAGCTTAAAATAAATCTCCTTTTCTATATATACCATATATACCACTACGAAAGATAATCGATGCGACAGATAATAAAGTTTTCATAATTTAAGACTATAGTTCAGACATTAATGGAAATACTACTGGCGAGATGTGTCCAGGATAACGTAAAATTTGTTTGTTTTTTAAGCAAATAGCGAGTCGAAAGCGTCTCAGCTATTCCATAATGCGGGTATCATTGATGCCGCGATGGCAATCCATACTCATGTGAAATTAATATCGTATACCATGGTCGAAATTTACCTTTGCCGTCGGATGGCCGGTACCACAGTAACCAAGGCAGAGATGAGAGCGATCGAGAACAGAGTGTTGAATGCAATCATGCTGAAAAACACGTATGACTCTGTGATGTTCAATTGAACAATGATAAAGTTGAGAAACACATCCAAGAGCATAGAGAAAGTAGATCGATAGATCTGTTGAAACCATTTCTTGTCCAAGCGTGATAGCAATGTTTTTTTTAAAAGCGATGTTTTTTTGCTCCTGTTTCGATCTATAAGTTTTTTAAATGATGTATTGTGGTCATTTGAGTTATTATATTCACTTCACGGAACTTGAAAGGGAATGAAAATCAAAGATGTCAAGAAAAGTGTCAATAGGAACAGAATTTCAATGTTCTCTTGGTAAACGCCACAGAATTAGAACGTGAACATTATTTAAAGCTCTTTTAAAATAAAAGCATGCACTGACATTCTGTGCATCATTCGATTTCATGTAGACTGCCACCTACAAGTCATCTGAAGCCGATTAGTCCGCAGCCGTAGATGTTGACTTCGGAGATGAAGGAATCGGAATGGAAAATCTCAGCAGACCCACCACGTGACCAGCTAACGCACCAGTGTTACCACTTCTCGCGGCGCCAATGATACCAGCAACATGGGATAACATAGACGGGTTTGTCGTGCTATTTGTCAAAAGGATAAACAGATCCTCAGTTGTCATAGCACTTACAGGACCCAACTCTTGACTGCTCTCCATCATCTCTTTGATTGTCTGCGCAAGCTGCACCCGATCATTTTTCGAAAGAGTGATGTTGCTATCTTTTATGAGAACAATATTATCTGACGCATTAATTGTATTGGTCATGACTCCAACGATCGCTCCGTGTTGCATTGTCTCTGGCTGCATACCATGGTCCACGGCACTCAGGTCATGAGCTGCTGTCGCAAGCGGAAAGGCAAAAAGGGAAAATGTGAGCAAGGCCTTAAAAGTCTTCATAGTAAGCGAAGTTTGACGGTTTGAGTGTGTTGAACAATGATAAAGCTGGAGCCTAAATATAATCACGTCCTGAAATTGCGAAGAAAGCATTAGTAAATATCTCGAATATCTTCAATCCTGCAGTTTACAGAGAAAGGTTTAATCGATATCTTACAAATATCCTGGTTCTGTTTTTTCGCATACTCGTTTCGAATTTTACGTCGAAATGTTGATGCATCAACGACGATCGCATTTGTAGACGTCGTGAAGATGAATGGTTCATTTGATTTTTAAATGTTGTTGTCAAGTTAAGAACTACTTTAGAGTATCTTGTCAATACTGCTCTGATGATCATAAATCCACAGTATCTTCACCTGTAATACATCTCCATACATTCCTTCGATTACCGTTTTTCAATAAGGTGTGAGAGTATATACTTCTACATTTGGTAGATATTTCTGACCATTTGTGAGGAGAGATTTTTTTTAAGAACACCAGTTAAACTTGTAAATTTAGTATGAAAAGCAACATTCGTCTTTATGGAATTTTTCTACCGTGCACTAGAATATTCAGTCGTCTATGAGCCACAACTTCCACGACAGCACGATTTGGATGTATTACGCTCAATTTGCTGAAGCCAACTTATGATACATCTACGACCCATCTCACGATCAGCTAATGCGCCAATTTTGCCACTTCTTGCGGTTCAATAATACCCGCAGCATGGACGGAGTTGTCGCGTTTGTAAAGAAGGAACGATTAGATTCTCTGTTGTCATGGCAATGTTGATTCGCTTCGTGATAGTCTGTTATCATCTTATTAATGATCTGTGCAAGCTGTATTTGGTCATTTTATAAGGCATGCCACAGTAGATGAGAAGCATTGATTGTATTGATAATGAGCCACAGCGAACGGACTGCATGCAACGTATTTTTCTTCGGTTGTACCATCGTGGTCTAGATCCATTATGAAGTTGGACTTGTAATAAGCTGCCACTACACGCTGAAGCGTGAACATAGCCTTGAGAGCACTTGTACTGAGAGCATTTATACTGTTAACGCAATGGTTGATTAATATCCAATGTCTTGACAAAACTGAATGATCGTGGTGTCTGCGGTGCCCTCCGCGGCGGCCAAAAAAATCATGCGTACCGTCATTGTCGGTGCTCGTTTCGGTACCAGTGCCATTTAGTGGAGATGTCTGCGACAGGAGTAAGAAGCATAAAAAGTCTTCAAACATCGTTCTAGATTGGGCAATTCATGGAATTTGCAGTGGGTTCAACTGATTCGAAGTTTCTTCTTGTAAAAGATCAAATTCGTTAAATCTTTAAGGTCGGCAGTCAAGTCTCTTACTCCACACAACAAAACTTTCAACCGCCTGCAACCATGAAGACATCTTTCGCAATTATCACTGCATTTTGTTACGTGGCTGCTCTTGCCAGTGCCGAAGAGACTGCTGTCCAAGACGCTACGAATGTTGAAGCTGAGCCCTTGCCACTCGATGCTGACGCTTTAGCTGAAGCGGAGAATCAAGAGCGCTCCGGTAATTTCCGGGGGGAGTATCGCGGCTACGGTGGAGGGTATGGTGGCTATCGTGGCGGTTATGGCGGTTATGGAGGTCGCGGAGGTTATGGTGGCTACCGCGGAGGGTACGGAGGTTATGGCGGTCGTGGTAAATGGTAAATGCTGGACGATAGTCAAGCAGATTTTTATAATGATTTAAATAAGTAAAGCAGCGTATGCGTACATTGTTGCTGCATTTAGCACATTCGCCTATTTCTTTGTTTGAAGTGCTTGGTAATTTCCTAAACTATTGCAGAAAATCTGACGGGTTTATTCGAGCAACGCGGGATTTGTTACTGGGCTTAAGTTTAACAGCTTAACTATCAATTTCAAGTTGCCTTCAAGCACATAAAAGATGTTCAAAGATTTGTTGACGATTCGCTTATCAACATCTTGGCTGTCCATTCGTTAAAGTTATAACTGATTGGATGGATCTCCAACAACCGCAAGATGGTTCTCCAACAGGACTCCAACAACCGCAAGATATTTTTCCAAGATGACTCGAGTGAGACTATGTTCTCATAAACGATAGCAAGATCACTTTTCTCAAAAATGATCGGTTGCAGCTTGCGCAGAGAATCAAAGACATGATAGTGAGCTGTCAGGAAATAAGTCCATGCAATAGCATGAAATCAGAGGACCCTGTTGTCGTTCTTACGGAGATTGTGACGAATTTGTCCACTTTTTCCCATGAAGTATCGATCTAAAAGTGTTTTTGAATGGTCCAATATATACTGAATTCGAAATACATTATCGTTCAGGCATTATCGTAGAACAAACAAAGGCTGAAAATCGATTTTAAACGCCTTGGTACTGATGAACGAGAATGCGGACATAAATATTGTAAGAGATGACATCTCTCAAGTTTTCTTTAGCACAAAACTAGACAAATTGCTTTCAATGAAAAAAGCATTTAATATCTTTCTTAAAACAGCAAAGATTATAATCTTGACAAATTCTTAAAATACGACTTGGGTATTCGCTTATTCTGTTCTTTGAACGCGATGGTTTAGTGAGGAATTCCCAGGACTGCTCTGAATTGTCGATACACAAAATATGCAGTAACCTTAAGAAATAACATTAGATCGACAACTCTCAAAGATAGAAATACATCTCAACCACAGTGAAAATATGTGAACACACCACAGCTTTAAGAAAACCTTAGATTAAACATAAAAGTACGCACTAGCGATCGGTGAATTACTCGATTCTACATGTAAGAAGCTTACTTTGGATTATTTGAAGCCGGTGTGTCAACAGCCGGAGGTACTGGCTCTAAGGGAGATATCGGAAAAGTTTTGAGCAGATCCACCAGGTGACCAGCCAATGCACCAGTGTTGCCAGTTCTCGCGGCATCAATGATACCTGCAACGTGGGAAAGCGTGGACGAAGTTGTCGCAATTTCTGTAAGAAGAACAATAAGGTTCTCCGTTGTCATGACACTAGCTGGATTTGCCTCGTGACTATCCATCATCATTTCCTTAATAGTATGCGCAAGCTGCACCCGGTCATTTTTTGATAAAAGTATCTTGCTATTGTTGATGATAACCTTATTATCCGTCGCATCAATTGTATTGGTCATGACCCCAACGAACGGTCCAGAAGGCATAGTTCCAGTTTTGCCATCGTTATCTGGACCCATCATGGTATTGATCTGGTGGTGAGTTGCTACTACGAAAGACACGAGGTTGATTAGCGCAATCGTGAACGAAACTTTAAACATCTGGATGAAAGCTTGATTTAGTCTTGAACGTTTGCAGTCAAGCTGAATAATGACAAAGTTAAGACGAGTCCGTTCTTTCTTCAGGAAAACTCATTGAATTTCTAGTAAATTGTCATGAAGAAATCTACACTCTACACATCGACACACCGTAAAATTTCTTGTCCCAGTAGAATATCTTCCCAATGAAGAAATTAACTTGCTGGTTGACAATTCGAGCTGTTCATTATCAAAGGTTAAGATAGATCCAGATGAGAGTATTGATACAGTGTCAAAAGCGTATGTTCACGCTGCTGAAGAAAATGTTCCGTTCTTTGTAGCAACCACCAGCCACTATCTCACTACGATATCCGCGATATTCTAGTTGAGCGAGAGTAAAGTACAGCACTATTTGCGAACAGGCGTTGTCAGGACTCATGGATAAGAGACGTATTGATAGAGTGAAAGATTTGCCCATTTAAGAAAATTGAAGAAACTTCGAGTCAGTTAAACTCACTGCAAATTCCACGAAAGGTTCAATCTCGCTCGTTCTCAGTGCTCCTTGTTCATTGTGTAATTGAACTCCTACGTCTAATACTGAATATGAAGACTTTTGTTACCATCATCGCTGTCATTGCCTCTGTCGTGGCTCTCATTTCTGCCGCAGACATCCCCAAAGGTGCTGCTACCGAGGCCAGGACCAATGATCATGAGCATCACTTCTTTGGCCATCACGGACACCACCACCATCATCACCACGATCACGATCATCACCATGACCACGATCACGATCATGGACACCACGACCATTAATTCTACTCAGGCCATTAGGATTTGTGACTTGATCGCTTCTTAAATCGATTTATTGCGTGGTGTCATAATGAATTAAATCCTACTTTTATCTTTTGTTTTAAGTGAAGATTTTGAGTAAAATTTGTGTATCTCTTCAGCACACTCTGCCGTTGTCACGTGTCATTCCTCACATCTCAAAAGATTAACGATGCGAACATTGAAATGGCTCGTTACCATAAGCGTCATAGTTACTCAAACTCTTGCAATGGAAGCTGAATTTCTTTACGGCTTTAGTGATTGCGTAGATGATGAGCGTACACTATTTTACTATACAAACAATGAAGGCATGTGCTCTGTCAACACGACGGGCCAAGTGCTTGCTAAACGTACGTACAAGGTGAATGTATTGAGAATTCACTGGTCCTTATGTTGTTTTGGTCGTGACATTTCTAGCTCCCGTTCATGGTCTTCGCTGTGACATCCATTGTGATCAAGGCTACTACCTTGGTGCCAAGTACGTCAGCAGTCTTAATAGTGACCAATTGATGATTCTGACCATGCTTTTTCTAGTTTTTCCAACTTGGTACCCGTGTCTGCCTGTGAACGTTGTCCACAAGGAAAGTATTCGCTTGGTGGAGGCAAATTGTTCTCTCAACGTACCGATGCATGGACTTTGCCTCTCTCTGCAGAGCTCCAGACGGACTGTGTGACACAAGATATGTACACGGGACAATGGAAACATAATTGTAATCCATGGGTGTCTTCCGCCGATGGATCGTACATATCATCAGGTGAGAATTCTCAAGTGATGGAACAGTTTTCAGGTTTAAGGCTCTACTCATCACTTCGAGTGAGTGCTACGTTTGTACGAAATGGCTCCGTGACGTATAAGTACCGCGTGGATGCCGAAGAGCCATATGATGGTTTGATTTTCCAGATTGATCAAAATCAAAGTGTCAAGTTAATGTCGCAGTCGAATGGTTGGAAAGAAATGACCGTAAAAGTTCCAGTTGGTTCGCATACATTTGCATGGAATTACGTGAAGGATTATGTTGGTGATGTTGGCGAGGACAAAGCTTTTCTTAAAGTTATTGAATTAGTGGGTACAGCCTGGTCTGATCTGCGTTGTCATACATGTGGCGGCGATATGACCAACACTGGTGGATCACTATGCGCCTTTTGTGGTCCGAATGAATATGCAGCGGCAAAGTCGAACAGCGAGCTCGAATTCAAGTGTTACACGTGTCCCGACAATACGTTTGCACCCAAAGGATCAATTGGAATTTCATCATGTGTAGAGCAGCGTCCATGCTCAATGGATGATGTAAACGCGACATACACAGCGTGTCAAAATGGGACTCGAGACGTACAGTACTCGTGGAGTGAGCCACAAACGTGTGACGTGACGTTAAATCAAAGCATTGCCCTCCCCGCGCCCCAAAATGGCGTTGAATGCGCTAGTTGTGCACGTGGGTATCAACTCACCGGAAAAGACGAATGCGTAGCTTGTGGTGCGAATAAAATACTAAGTGCGTCTGAAGTTTGTACAGAATGTCCTGCTGGCAAAGTTGTAGTGAATGCGCTTGAGTTCAGCAAGGACACGCCGGATGCGTGGGATTCGTGGCCATCAATCTTCGACTCAGAAGCTTCATCACATGCGGGATGGAAATTGACAAAGAGCGGTTTACTGTTTGCGCAGCACACGACGAGTGACGAGGAAAATGGAAACTGGATTCGACCGAGTCATTCGGCGCTTACTTTTAGTGTTCCATTTGTGCATTCTGGCTCGCTGAATGTCACATACACGCTGAACGGTTTGCCTACATTTGGAGACGATGGCTTTCGTGCGTGGGTTGAACTGGAAATTCGCGATTTGAATGCTAGCAACAAGCAGAAGTATGTCAGAGACATTGTCATTTCCAACTCGTCTGGTAGCAAAGATGGTTCGAGTAAAACAAGTGAAGATGAGAGCATCGTACACTTGCTTCATGGCGGTGAAAATGGTACTTTTAGCGAAGTCATACCGATCAATTTGACGACTGGTGTCACCAAAGAGTTTGCGTTTGTGGTACGTGCGACAACTCCAGAGGCCAAGCGTAGGATTGAAGCTAAAGTGATCTACCTTGGATTTACCGGGACAAGGGACGGCGCTGGTGTAAGTTGTGACAGTTGTCCGGCTGGTTACCATCCGATTACTTCTGAAGACTATGGATGTCGCATTTGTCCTGCCGGAACCTTTGCTAAAGTTGATGATGTGACTGGAGTCGTTGCGTGTTCTGATTGTCCTGCGAATACGTACTCAAAAGCGGGTGCGTCTGGCTGTATACCATGTGGTTCGAATACATACAGCAAATCTGGTTCTGCGACCTGTGCTGCACCACAAGCGCTGACGCTGGACGCAGATACCGTGAAAATGTCGTCATCGTCGTCAATGGCGGATGCCGTATCTTCTGCGTTAGACGGTCTGCAAGTGACGTATAATTTGTCGCTTCTTGAGTCGCTTGTATGGGGCAATGAGAGCAGGTTTTTAGCTGATATTGTATATGGAAACACGACGAGTTTGCAGTCTATTCATCCGGTGAATGCCCCCATGGTTTTCCAGGCAGATATCGAAAATTACTGGTTTACTGGTCTCTTCCGTCCACTTGGAACGGGATGGTTGGAACAGGTTCCTGGGCAGATTGTAGATCAACAAGTTGACACAAACCATGAAGTGGCTCACGTGGTGTTTGCCACAATGACAAATCCTCAAGACGCGGGAAATTACTTTCAACAGAATAGTGGTGTCTATGGCAATGTCTTGTGCTCTGCTCCATCGGTTTGTTTTCTGCTATCTCAACTATTGAATTGATTTGATCATCTGATGTGTCATTTATGGTCTTTATTGTTGTAGCAATGGAAACTCGTGAATGGCGGTAGCCACATGGATATTTTACCCTTAGAATCTGGCGCAGGAGTCAAGGTTTCCTTCACGAATGGATCATCTTGTGTAAACGGCAAGACCATGACCACAATCTTTCACTTTGAATGTGATCTCAACAGTGGTAAGCATCTAAACTCGTTTGTATTGATCAACGAGATGATAACACTCTTTGTGATGACAGGTACTATCACCAAACCGACATCTGCTTCAATTGATGATGATGATGAATGCGAATGGAATATTGTCTGGAAGACGGCGTACGCTTGTCCTGTGTGTGACGATGACTATTTCAGTGAATTGCGCTCAACGTGTAATGGTGGGGAGCAGTTGGTTTCGTATGCTCGTAAATTGGAATGTTACGGTGGGTCTGAGTCAGCGAGCACTGAGACAATTTCCACTTGTACTGAAAGCGCTGTGGTACTAGACACTAAAGCCCTATACTCCGTATATGCTATGATTGTGGTGGTTGGCTTTATTGTCTTGGTGCTGTTAATGGGAATTCTTATCATCCATCGCAAGTACCGAAACGTCTACAACGATTATCTGTATTTGAAAGGAAAATTACCAACAGAGGAACGAATGCAAGGTGATGGGTCAAAAGAGACAACTTTTGAATTTACACCAACATCCAATGCTCTTCATAGCTCTCCATTGGGTCTTGCATCATCTCGTGCTACTCCCGAGCGTGTTGAAGGAATTTCGGATGTTGATTTGAACGATGAGGGAATTGATCTCCAGCTGAAAAATATGCAAAGTGTATAGAGCAATTAAAAAAATGTACTTTGAGATGTTTGTTTTCTTACCGCAATGTACTGTTTTAAGATCTTGTTGCTTGTGTGCTGCCACAAATATTAAATTCTCGGATGAATAATCACAGAATACTTGTCAAAATATTGTTGAATTTTTATTACTTTGTGTTGTGATCGTTTAAGCACCTCACTCATGATCTTCGACATTCAAAGACGTTTTGCTCGCCTTGAGTGTCGCAATCGCATGCAAAAACTTTGTTGTTTCTTGGTGATTCGTCACCCACATTGATGCACTCTCTCGCTCGTGACGAATACGCATTGCACCTGAATTTGAAGCAGACAACGGAACTGGCTGCTTGCAGTCTGGAAATCGCTTAAAAGCTTCACTCTTGACGTAATCCCACATAGCGTCTTCACCAAGATTAAGTTGAAATGCAAACAAAGCCACAACCGGGCCACGGTACCACCATCCTGGATGTCGTGGTTCCTGTGTATCCAACATGACGAAAAAGGCTGCTCCAAGTTCTTTGAACGCAGAAATAATGAGCGGCTCAAAAGCATTTTTCGCTGCGAGCTGACGATTATTGCGCTTGTTAAAGTCGACAAGATTCAGTCTGCGTGACACAGGAGCCCAAAAGTTACGCTCCCAAACAGCACGAGCATGATTTTTCCAAAATTTATAGAATTTTCGGGCAAGTGCAGGATGCTTTTTGTCATCAAAAGGAGCTGATACATTTTGAAAAACTATCTCCCATGGAGCCTGTGCAGCAAACACTTTCATTCGATGTGCTAGCTCTAGTTGACTGCGACACAATTCCTCACTCATCGCTGGTTTTCCTCGTTTATTCGACTTTCGATCAATATCGAGCTTGTGCGACTTGTCATCATCAATTAACTTGCTGTGAAGTCGAGTCTGATTCTTGATTTTTGCTTTGGATTTCAAATCCAAAGTCTCAGACTTGCGCTTTTGACCTCGCTTAGACTGTCCAGAAATTCTTGAAACAACTTGAGTTAAAATTGACGTAACCACTTTTGACGCAGTAACATGAACCACCTCCTTTGACTTATCGACTAGATTCACGGATGAGTAAGCATCAGGTGAAGATAAATCATACACACTTGAGTCATACAGTTTGGTCTCAGCTTCAAAATCTTTATAATGCCCAGGCAAAGCTATTGTTTTTGGCACTACTACATCTCTTTGGGTGGACTCGGTAGCAGGTAAGATCGATTCCATGACACTAGGTTTCACAACATCCATCGTGACATTCGTGCGTTGTACCGTCGTAGTGTTCATTATAAGCGTCGTTGCACCTGGAGGGCAAGTGTCTGTAACCTCTTCGCGGGTACTCGCCAAAGATGTATTATGACTTGTTACAATGCTGATTATTTTTTTCGTGGAAGCGGTACCCATCGCACCATACTTAACCGATGACATGGCAGCAACAGAAGTATTGTCCGGTACCATAGTGTCAGCAATCGGCACTAGTCTCTTGCTGGTACTCAATATCTTGCCACATTCCGAATGCGACAATTCCGTAATAAATGCTTCATCAATTCCGATCGCAGCTACAGCAGATGCATTTTCAAGCGGTATACTGCTCACCTTCAGCTGCTTAACACGCTGTATAGTTGACTTCGTTATTGGCTCCACCACATCTAGTTCCACCAGATCTGTCGCAGCTTTAGTAGCTGTATCTTTGCTAATTGTTTTTGCAAGACTACCACGTCTGACAGTCGACCCAGGAACACAACAACTATCATCCGACTCAGTCAGTACATCTGCAAGTGCTGGAGTCAAATTTTGCAGTCCCTCGTCGCTCGTCATGAAGTTTTGATCACATTTTTCCGGCAACCTGGCAGCAGATTTCGCCACATCGATTTTCTCCACCTCGTTTGTAGATACAAATTCTACATCATTCATGGGCCCCTCACTCAAACTTGCAGCAGACTTGACGACATTAGATTTGACTTCTTTCGATGTCATTGCATGAGCAGCGGTCGGTAATGACATGAAAGTATGTGATTTATCTGATTCCGTCGCAGCTATAGGTGACTTGCATTGTAGTGGCTCACTGCTTTCTTCTGTTTGCCTGCCACGAATGCTTTTCGTACAAGCAGCTGATTTTGCATTGGTCTTTCCACTCTCTTGCAGTTGAACTTTGCTTGACTTTCGAGATCTGTCACACTTAAAAGGAAGATCAGATGTGGATTTCACTACATCCAAATCAACCAATTTCGTTGCATCTACAGTCATAACGTCTGGTAGTGCCCTGCATGATTCGATGTTACTGCCAATCTCAGAGAGCTTAGTAACAGCAGATTCGGTAAGATCAGTTTCGACTACTGCCGAGTCAACTGAACTAGCTGCCTTCTGTAATACCATACGCCCTAATCTCGGTTCTTGGCCATGTTTAGAACTCGAAGAAGATGCCACCACATCTGATTTAGCCACTTCCGTGAATTTTTTGATAACTGGATCTTGCAATCGCACATTGCTAGCGTTTGATAGTTTTCTACGCTTGAAACGCTTTTTTGTGGCAAGTTTCACTTCATCCGATTCCACCACTTCTATCGAGGCTAAAGGTGATGCACGATGAAGCGATTCTTGGCTTGAACTAATATTTTTGCCACGTTTAGACGACAACTTTGCTACAGATGTCGTAAAATCAGTTTCAATCGGTCCACGTGCCGTTTTAGATGCGGCATCTTGTAGTGATACTTTGCTTGCCTTAAGTCTTCGTATTGACGGTGACTCTACGACAGAACTCGTTTCATCTATTTCAAACAGATCCATTGCGGCAACAGAGGCTGCATCTTGTAATATACTGCTTGCCTTAATTTTTCTGCCACATCTTAACGGTGACTTTTCAGCACGTCCTGCCGTTTTTGATACCACTTGCTCTGTTGCAGCTACAGCACTTTCATCATGCAATGATATCCTCCTTGTCTTTAAATCTTTACCACACTTCGATCTCGACTTTACAACGGATGGTGGGACGTTTGGCACAGCAACAGTATTTACGTCTGCGGCTCCATTTTGAAGTAACGCAGATTTTGGTGTCGCTATTTTGGCGCTTTCCAAAGACATTTCGGTAGCGGGAATCGATGCTAAACACGATTTTGTTCCTTTAGTGACAGTAGACTTTTCCAAATTTATGAGACTATCACTTTTTCGCTTAGAATTTGTCGCGACAATAGGCTCATCTTGAGCACGTGAAATCTCCCGATCCTCTAATGAAAGACGCCGGTTTCTCGATTTCTTCTGATTAATCAAGGGCAAGGCAATATCAGCATCACTCAAAGCCAAAGATCCTGACGATTTCGATCTTGCAATATCACAATTTCGTTTTTTCATACACTTTGTCTTAGCTTTTTGTGTGATTTTTTGTTGCTCAATCGGATGTCCCAAAGTCCAAGTATCATTCTTGTTTCCAGTCGAGAAAGAATGTCTTAACGATGTTCGTTGTGGCAATTCGTATGGAATCACACTCATCACTTGGCTCCCATTTTCAACGAATTCTAACAATTTCTTTTCACGATGATTTACAAAATCTAGAAAAATTTGCTTGAGTAATGCTATATTTCGTGTTGCTGTACGATGTTGTAGATATAAGAAAACACAGCCACGTTTGTCTGAATGGTGTTTCGGTTTCGACAACAGAGCTTTCGCTTCATGACAACGTTGAGCGCTAGTTCTTAGCACTGGATACATGGTGATAATAGTGCAACCTAATTGCATCATATGCACCAATGTAATCTCTTGATCGTTTAAAAAGTCGGTAAAAATACGACGCAGCATTGAGATGTTTACACACTTAAGCCGCAGCTCCAAATAGGTCGCAAAGTCCTGTAGTATAGCAAGATCTTGAGATATAGAACTATGCAAACTCTCGTCTTGACGCACAGATCCATCAATTGTCACAGTAGAAAATGCTGATGAGGTTGCACTGGAGATAGCCGTCGCCATTGCGCAACGGGATCGAATCTAACAATTTAGTTAATTGAAGTAATAAAAAAATTAAGTTAAGCAAAAATTTTACTTGAAATATTAGAATACCAGCTTAACCAAATTTGAAAACTGGTTCCGACAACTTTAGCTTGGTGATACATCTTGGCCATGGCATATTTACCCTCAACCTCTACAATTTTCATTGCTCTAGACCGAGCCCACGAAGTCATAGAAATTGCAATACGCTTTTGAGCTCGACAGCAGCGAAGACGTAATTTATTACGAAAAGTGATAGCTCGTCGCCAGAGATGGAATATATGAAGTTGACGACTTCGAATAGCTAGTTTACGGGCAGCATGGAGCTGAGTTGGACCTCCGCGGTATAAATGGTGATACAGATACATTCGAGTGTATGACTGAAGAACGGATGCTTTGACTACTTGATGGGCTAATTGGATTTGCCGAATCTCTGAACTTGGAAGCGACTTTGAAGCAGAAGACCTTGAGCTAGATTGGCGGATTGTCTGGAGCTTGATTCGTGGCTTTTTCATGCGGCTTCGAGTGCGATGGCGACGAATCGATAAATGAGCCGTAGTGACAACTGCTTTTCCTTCGAGCAACTCATTTGTCAGTTTGTCGAGAGCTAGCGACTCGCGGTAATATTCTTGTCTTACCATTGTGTTAATTTGCACCAAGTTGCTGCTAATGAACTGCAAATGTTGATCGACATCCGAGAAGATGGATTCTAGGGTTGTAGAATATCGACTTCCAAAATCAGAATCAATTCGAGTTTGCTTTTGCTGGTTGGTTTGAGCGCTTCTTGGGTTTTTCGAACTCATATTTTCATCACCTTGAGGTAGTTTGATTTGTTGGTGTAGTCCTGTTTCATGCTGTCGTGCGGCATATTTACGACGGAGAAAGAGCCTCTTTGCTTGCGCTAATGCCGGAAACTCAGTGACGTCGTCCATTTTTGGCCAAAAGATTCAACGGTCGTGACGCTTCAGCATGGCTCGAGTTATTTTCGCTTATTGTCTTGCTCTCATGCATGATCGAAAACACTAAAGTTTCGTTTATCTACAAATTCCTGAACTTTTTGATGTAAGACACTGATAAATAAGCGCATTCAAAGATATTAATTGCGTTGTTATAACTCCAATGCTAGTCATTGTTCATCTGGATATGGTTTACTTAAGTCCTAATTGCGTTAATCTACCTCGTGTCCTTCGTGGCGGCACATCACAATCAAACAAGGGGGGTGATGACCCCAGACCATGATTATCAAACAAAGGCCCTTTCCTTTGAAACGACTGTACCCAATACGATTAATGCGACGGGAAACAACATTATTATCAAAAACAGTGCGATCATTATTTCCAAAATTGTCTTGCCCACATGTCGACAAGTCTTATACATCAATTCGTCACTGCAACAGTTTCGAATTTGAAAGTGATCGGTTGTCCGTTGTATTTTTGTTCTGACTTTTGTTTTCGTTTTTGTTTCTTGGCTTTTGCAGCTTCTTTGCCTTTACAAGTGTGTTTGTAGAGACCGAAGTTCCATTCTTTGCAATATCGGCATACCCGAGATGTGATAATTTTTTTTTGGCCTTGTCGTTTACCCTCAGGACATGGGCAGTTGGTGTACTTAGAGTAAATGGCTTTGCAGGCTTTACATTGAGACCAGTTTTGTCCGACCATTGTTGAAGTGAATGGTGAAATGAAAAGTGAAATATTATTAGGTTGGTTCTGTTGAGACCTACTCTGTGATTTCTTACAGACACAATCCCAAATCTCATCCTCACATCGTATCATTATCTTATATACTCATATGGTATAATGTTATTTGATCAATACTAAGAATATAGACTCGACGCTCTTCTAGTAACTTTAAATACTCTTTTGTTCTAAAGCACGTTAGTCATTTGCAACGCTTCTTGCGTTCGAGATATAACTGCTCCCGTGATCACTAGTGTTAGAGATGCATGCTGGAGAAGCGAAAATCTGGGTACATGTTCCGCAAAGGTCGGTTGAAAGTTTCATCAATTTGATAAAATCTTCAAAGTTGACTTTTCCGTCTTTGTCAGCGTCAGCTTTTCGTATCATTTCTCGACACTCTGTCAGGGTAAAATGCTGACCCAGTAATGTTTTCAAGTTCTCTTTTGTGATGGCTCCACAATGAGATCGATCCAAAATATGAAATGTGGACAAAAGCAATTCTTCATCTGCCGCATCTTCAGGGCCGATCGTGGCAGCAATAAATTCGAGCAGATTAATGCCATTCTCATTCTGTTGATCAAGACTAATATTTTTGAAGTTAGATCCAAACTAGAAAAAATGGTAATGACGTACACAGAGAAAATCTGGTCCAAGTTAAGCTGATAACGCAAGAGTGCTGGTGCCAGGTGCAGCTCTTGAAGCTTTAAATCACCATTGTGAGCAACATTTAATTCATTGTATACTGCTGCATGCAAAGCAACTCGTTGAGATGACATACAAAATGCCATAGCTACTAGTGCAGCTCGCTGGAACGGACTGTAGTCGCAGAAAGCTTTGATACGAGGAACAATCATGTCGTAGCTGTCAATTTGAAAATATGACAATGAATATAAAGGTAGTCGCAGAAGCCAATTCAGACGTACACTTGAGGTAAAACAACTTGTTCGGACGACTTGATCCACGGATGCTGAAGTACTTGGGCAGCCGTAAAACGATCTTCCGGTGTGGTCTGTCAATAGCAGATGTTGAGACGTAGAAAATGTTATCCAAATGAAATGTTTCGTACGTTCAAGAGTTTACGCAGCAATGCCTTCGCTTCAAGAGACACCGTTGCCCACACATTGTGTTCATACGATACGTTACCTGAAAAGATACTTTCAATAAGTTTGTCTTCAGTATTTCCATGAAATGGTGCCTTGTTGCTCAGCAGCATGTACTAATAAAATACAGCACAACTACATTAGCAACATTCCTGCGAGCTCCAACATTTGAAGCAAAAGATACCATGATGACACCTAAGCTCCACATATCACACGATTCCTTGTAGTTTCCTTCGAGTACTTCAGGCTATAAAATCCATTTTTATGACTATGTCAATGTCGTTTTTTGTTAAAAAGTGATACACGTACAGCCATGTAGACAACGGAGCCAAGAACCTCTCGCATGCTTGCACCAGATTTAAACAGGGTACTTGCGCCAAAGCTACACGTGAAGACATCATAAGCTTTCCAAATATTAGTTTATCAAGTAGTAGCTAAAATCATACTCGCAAAGCTTGATGTGACCACCCTGTTCTAAGTTTTCGACGAGAATATTTTCAAGCTTTAAGTCGCGGTGCTGTAGACACTCAAGAGACGTAAGTTTGACTCAATTCTAACCGCACAAAGAGCAAACCTACGCAAATGTTACGCGAGTGCAAGTATTGAATGACTGATGCAAGGCTTCGAATGATATCTTTGGCTTTCTCTTCACAAAGCTCCTTATTACGAGCCTTCACTTGGTCAAGCAGCTACAAATCAAGTTAAAGCATATATCAAGTTAACGCTGAAATCATATCGAAGTCTATGCTCGCGTACTGTTCCCCCTGAACAAAGCTCCATAATAATATAGAAATGATGTTCATCTTCAAAAGTCTCAAGCATGCGCACAATGTTTGGATGATGCAAGACGCGAAGAATTCTCATTTCGTTTTCAAATTCGTGGCGCTTGCTTCCAGACTCAAAATGCACCGTTTTCAACGCGTATTGTCTCTGTGTCTTAAGATGCTCCACTTTTTCGACAACTCCGAAAGCCCCTCTACCCAACTCGCCTAGACTGCGGTAGACATCGCCCACTGGAGTTTTATGATGCATGCAGAGATTGGTCTGAAACATATTCGGACGAATTGTTTCGGTGGATTGCCTGCAGCCCATGGCTGACTCTTACCTTCTCTGTTACCACTCTCTTTCTATTGAAAAAGCTTGAAACCAGCTCCACGTCAACACGTGACTAGTGCACAAACCAAGAATAGCAGCTGACGGTTTTCATCATATTTGTATGAGTTACATGTACGGTCTTCTGGCATGATTACTCTTCCTATTCCGAAGTGAGCTGGATTTGGTATATCTCTGCTATGCATTGAGGCATCGATAAATTCGTTAAATTCGCAACCATTGTATATTACAACTTATGCATAACATCGCAGCACAAAGTGGTCATCAACAAATTGTGTTGTGTGTCTGTCTGGACAGGTAAGAGGTAGATTGACGTACATCTGGACCTTACACATCCACATCGAAGATCTGATAAAGAATTTATGGTGATATGCCTGTAGTGACTGTCGAGAAACAAGGAGTGTTGATATCCCAACGCAAACGTTAAAGATGAGCGTCACTGTGTGGATACAGATGCAGAGCTTTGGCGACGACGATTCGGTCATGCATTATACAGAAGATGATCAGAGACGGGCAAAGCGATAGTACAGAGATAATGCCAGCAGGCATGCGAAACGACAAGAAAATTTGCAAGCCATTTTAAGGCCAGTGGCGACGACCAAAAATGCACAGAGTACGGTGTGAACTGACGTTCTTGACCGCTTACTCCAGTTTCAAAGCCTGGGCTCAAATGCATGAAGAGTCTCATCATGATATGTCAGCTATGTGTATGTCTATCCACTCCGCAAGAGAACGACGTGTCAGGCGAGATTATGATTGCGCTAAGACAACTGCCAGCATAACTTGAGGTGCTCTAAAGAGATAATGGCGTAAAGAGTATCGTAATGCGACAGTTGCTATCTTTCTGCATAGCAATCTATCAAGAAAACATAGTTTAGCCATTTCGTTCAGAACGAGATCGCTGAGCAAATGAATCGGAAACTTGTGGAAATGAATGTTGTGCCGACCTCGATACATAGTCTCACGAGCCCGTTTGATAAACTTTGAAAGTCACATATCGATCACATGTTTGTTTGAAACCGATTCTATCACGTTGAAAGGAATAGCGCCGAAAGATAAATGATCGCGGAGTTTATGATGCCTACTTGGATACGCCAAACAGAGAAAGACTATTGGCCTCCTCTGTCGAATGACGGATTGATAGTCATTTCATGTAGTGCAACGTTGTAGAGTGCCGAGTAGCAGTCGAAGGAAGGCGGTGCTTGCAAGGAACTCTCGACATTAACAAGTCCGAGGACCAAGATATGGCGATTTTTAGAGAGGATTGCAAACGTCACGAACAAGGCACTGTATCAAACGTACATGATGGGCCAAGTGTTTCAATTCTAACAGATGGTGAAGAAGAATGGATGATACGGCCTGGATACGCTAGAAGCAAGGTGTTGCGCTTTATGAGCAAGAATATCGAAATTGGCCTTGTGGCTAACTAAACTTGGTCACCAATGATGAGGATCATGATGTGTGATTGCAGATGACGACGAAAGCAAGCGAGTTTGCTTTATTGATGACAAAGTACAAATATTGATATGTGCTTGCGGAGAAATCTTTAAGTGATCACAACGTGTCGTTGCCATGCCTTTGATAATAGAGCAGTCGGCATCAAGCGCGACCCAAGCGCATGTTTCTGAATTCGAGCAGAGAGTAATAATTTCCTTCTATGCTTGTCTGTTGGCAAAAGTATACTTTCAGCGCTCAGGTGGCATTCTACTCGAATACCTTTGCGCCTAATGCACGTAAGGAGTCGAACAACACAATTTAAACGATTGCTTTTACTAAAGACCTGTTGACGGAGAACATCGACGTGAGTTTAGATTTTCTTCGAGGGGAAATTAACGAAGGGGTATCATTTGAAATCGAAAATCAAGGCATTCCGTAAAGGAAATTTCTACTATAGAAGGTAAGTTACACTATTGAACGAATAGCTTGGGAATAAAGCAGCAAACTCCATCAGTATTTGAAGAACAGAGGGTACAAACCTTCTGGTATCTCATAGGTTTACGTTCATCGAAAACATGTCGTCGTG